AGGTAAAGTGAAATAATTGTATTATTTGTATTCATGTCTATGATAATAAAATCCTTTTGTTTAAACTTTATCTAATTTAACTTTATTTAACCAATTTCTAGAAAGTTGCATGTAGATCATTTTTCGAAAAATAAGGCCATAAACAAGTTTCACTTCTTACGTGTGTACACTAGTACACGCACACATTTTTTTAAACGTGTGTTAATTGAATAGTTTTAATTGAAAAACGATTCAGTCAACTCTTTTTGAAATATGTCACACAAATTCGGAGTCGGAAAGCCGCGAATGTATTGGTTATGATGGTAAATCGAAAAGTTCCTAGTCCCATATCATTAAACTCTATTCCAATTACGAAGTCCCTTTTGACACTTCTTAGAACGTAACTCTTCAAGTTGAGGGGGAGGGTGATGGGAGAGATGTGCTCCGCACTAAACGCTTCACTTTCCCCCCTTTGCCTTTTGATGAGTTCTGTCTCATGCGAGGTTTGGACGTTGGTTGTTGAGCGACAGGAGGTTTTAGTCAGTTCGACTCTGACATGCCCCGCCCGCCATCCCCAATGGAGGGCGGAAGTCCGGCGATTTCCTCCTGACCCAAAAAAAAAACTCTTCACGTTTCGCATAATTTGAAATAATAAACATTTTTTGTTCCTGGTCGTAATCATCATTTAAAAAATACACAATCAATCTAAACCATTATACAATTAATTCACACACACAATAAACTTAAGAATAACATCTGTCAAATAGGATTTCATAATTGGAATAGAGTATAATGAATACAGTACAATTTGAGATTATCCAAATGTATAGTTTTTTTTTTTTTAGTACATTCTTGTAACACGCTGCTATGTTTAAAAACGTAACGAAATATAATTGAATGAAACAAAATTTTATTACTATATTGAAGTAATAATTCCCTAATTACGCAAGGGGATACATGCGTGCGATTACGTACAAATTTAGTATCTAAAAAAAAGCGGTTCACGTTGTACTTAAACACAAAAACAGGCCAATTCAAAAGAAAAGTAGAATGTAGAAGTTTTCAAACCTCATGTACGAAACACATAAGCGGCAATGGAAGTTTTATTTTTATTTTAAATCGTATAAACGACTGAATATTGAATATAACGATTAAAAATTGAGAAATAATTATGACCAATCGACTCATATTACAATATAATATACATAAAGAAATCAATCTTATAACATAATAATATTACGAACACTTTTTTATTATTATGCATACTTAATTTTGCGAAATTCTAATCAATACTATTGAACACCAATTTTCACAAAAATAATAATTTGGGAGCCACTACAAAGGTGAACTTTAAATAAATTAGCATCATATTTCATTGATATACTTTTTTAAATTTACATGACATTTTGAACGCAGATTCTCGACCAATGTTACATGTATTGTTTAATTTAACCAATATTTTCTGGCACAACTAAACTTGGCAGAAATTTCAATGTAACATTTTATTGTAGATTAAAAAAGTAGTATTTGGGTTGGGGCCAGAACATTTGAGTCTAAAATAAATCCGCCGATGGATAATAAACGCAAATCAAGTGCTATGAAACAATTAATTTGTGAATCGTAGGTTTTTTGTTCTTGTTTTTTTTTATTACCGGCCTCCATTTCCAATGAAGAGAAGAGGACTTTTGATTTAAAGCAAAAAGTTCCAGCTTACAATAGTCTAGTCATGCGCATTTTCGAAATAATGAGAAACTTTTCTATAAAAAAAACTGCATGGGCTTCGCCCCTTTGCCTTCCTAAACGTTCCTAGGTGAAAACAATGAAAAAAGGTATGTCGTAATTTAAAAAAAAAAAACAAATGAATACGATTATTTTCAATATACATTCTATCGTACCATTCAATTCCATTGCACTGAGTTTTAAAAGTTGACTAGAAAAAATAGATTGATCCAACGACGCATTATTAATGAACAGGCAAAAAAAAATTGCAAAATGGCCGACATCAATTTTGTTTCGTATTGAATAATTTTAACTTTATAACCATTACGCATTTTATCCATATACAAAATGGTAATAATTATGCTGATATTATGCACACTTTTCTATATTTTTCCGCATATACATTCACAAATATATTACAGAAAACCCTAAACGTGACGCAGATATTGTTTAGATGAAGACATTCACGATATGGAAAGACTGCATTCTTCCGTTCTTTAATTATTATTCGTAGCTTTTTACGAGTTGTAGACATCATTAAAACTAATTTTACAATTCAATCTTGTATTTATTATTGTCATTATATTATTTCCGACGTGTTTTCGTAAATTAATCGAAACATCAGAAATAACATAACGACAATGAATGCAAGATTTAACCGTAAAACCAGTTTTAATTAATGACAGTCAGTTTTTAAGAGTCTTCCTATAACAGACTTAAAGACCTGATATAACTGTAAATGTCTAACTGTCAATTTATGTCTAAGCGACAAAGTAAAACAAAAAAAAAAACCGAAAAAAAACTGAATCACTATGGATCATTATGAATCAGAAGCGGAAGTGTTTCTAGAAGCCGGAGATGAATTACACATAAGAAAAATAATAGTTGATTGTTTTAAATTACGACCGTGTACGGAAAAAAGATTTCAAAGGGTATAACTTCTTAAAAAAAAAGAGATAGCTCGTGTATGTAATTAAACTTATTGATAGATTTTTATGAATTCCCAACACTCAAGAATAGTGCATTTATTATTATTAACAAACGAATTTGTACGTGTCGATTTCATTAAGAAAAAAAAAACTTATTTATCGTAACATTACTTATTAAGTACACATAATCTAATATTTAAAAGCGGAAACGACAGAAGGCATTTTAGAATCAAATTGTAATGTTCAATCACGATCTGCATCGATTAGCATCAAGAGTTCGATGATTTTAATTGAACTACAATTAAGTTTACCTACTCCATTCAAATAGCCGAAGAAGTTTTTTGTTATACGATTTTTTTCAAATTTTTATACTTTAATTAATTTACTCCTGTAAACTTGCGAAAATATCGCTTAAACCAAATAGCCTTTCACCTCTCGAATTTTATGACATTTTACAGAGGCCAGACCATGATTGGTGTAAATCAGTTTAAATAGATAAAAATGAATTATAATTAGATAATACACGTAAACAGCGTTTAATGATTATTTGTAGATTACTATATTTTATAGGGCACTGCGATTGTATTTTTGCATCAAATATATTATTAATATATTATTATAAATATATTATTGGCGAATTATGTCGACAAGCCTTTTGTGAAGACATACTTCGCTTGGCATACTTGAAGAGCTGTGAACCAGAATATTTGTACAAATATACCTACGCCGTATGCCAAGTGAAGTAACATCAAAAGTTTTGTTAATTAAATTAAACGTTGTGTATATTATAAGTATATTGTAAGCTTAGCTTATAGGTATAGTTGTAATTTGTAAACTCAACCTAAAGCCCAATAAGTTCACTGGGTCGCCTTGGGTCGGTCTTGTGATGATCAGTGAATTAGCGTTATTAGAAAATTTATGCATTTTTTATGGAAAACATAAAGTCACAGATTTAGCTCTTAATTTCTGAGCATCGCTTTCGATGTTCCAATATTAAGGATTTGATTACACATAAACAAATTTTCTTTAATGCCAGTTAGTAACATTTGCCTCGTAATAACGCCAACCATTCATCGCTCATTGACACTAACTAATAAACTCATCTACGTTAAGCTAATCTTGTGTATATGAAGAAAAAAAAGTAATTAACAAACGCGATGCAAGCTTGGCATATTTTCACAACGGATAGTCTTTTCCTTTGATGGTCAGCAAGCACGAAAAACAAAGAGTTAAAGCTGAATGTGGGCAAGGGTAAAATGTTGTTTATCAGAAACTAGCGACCCGCTCTCGCTTCGCTTCGGAAACTGTAATTTATTATTGATTTCTCCAGTATTTAATGGATGTTATTATACATATAAACTTTCCTCTTAAATCACTCTATTAAAAAAAACCGCATCAAAATCCGTTGCGTAGTTTTAAAGATTTAAGCATACATAGGAATATAGGGACAGAGAAAGCGACTTTGTTTTATACTATGTAGTGATGAGATGCTAGCTTCCATCCCTGAACGCTGTGAAGGATCACAAGCGATTTCGTATCTGAGAACGAAGCACAAGATTTAGTGGTACGACACATTATTTAAGAATTGAAGGGTCGGTCCACGTTGTCGCTTGCTCTTTATGCAATTAACACTTTGCCGTCCGACCAGACCACAGTGGTGTCGTGATCATATCTTTGAAATACTAATTCATGCATCAGCTCGCTGAGTTCTCACCGGATCTTCTCAGCAGGTCACGATTCCGATCCGGTAGTTGATTCATTCGCGAAGCAGCTGCTTTTGAGTTATTAGATCTCCTTTGGAGGGGCTCGGGCAGCTGTTACGAAATCTCACCCCTCCTGGCTGAGCCTTTGCTCGCCCACCTGTCCTGGTGAAACTGGAAAGGCCTTCGGACCACCAGTAATCCTTCAATTATAAAAAAAAAACTGAAATTTCCTGAAAGGAGCGCAACAGGAAAACTTATGAGAACTAACAATGAGCGGCGGCGTTTCAACAAACCAAGTGATCAGAATTAGCGCTGCCGATGCAAAGCAAATATTTTTTTACGAAACGTACAGACAGCAAAGTATTAAGTTTAACATCGCGTTTATCAATACTCTTTTCCTGACGAGAAATAAGGCTATTTTTTTTTTAAATAGCCGATTTATTGTAATCGTAAACTCTTTATAGCAATAATCGTTACTGGAAATTTAACTAGTGAATTTATATAATAGTTTCATTGCCAAGAAGCTACTACTACCTTAGAATAGTCATATGAGTGTCTTATTACGTTCAAAACCTTTTTCAGCATATTTTACGAATCACCCTTCAGGTAACTTTACGCGCGGAAATTATGTAGTTTATGTGAGAAGTTACACTTCTTTGACGTGATTTATTTATTTTAATTATTTTGATATAATTTTACTCAAAAATAATACTGACATAAATTTTCAATGAAACATTTACAGTAAAAGATACGCTATAAAATACACTTATCCGTTTTAACAAAAAGCGCCAAAAGAAGTCAAGCTTCAAATAATATAAGCCACCAAATAAAAAAATTTAAAACTATAAAGAGTTTACGAAAAGAGGAGCTAATCAAAGTTTATCAGGCGTCAATAGTTAAATCTAGTTATAGTTTAATTTAACTCCAAGTCCGTGGTTTCTCAGCTCCTGAGCTGCAGGCTTCCTTCTTCGCTTCTCCGGACCTCTTCCGATCCGGTACGTTTCCGAAGACATTAAGTTTCGTCTCTTTGAGCGAGCTACAAAACGGGAATATTCCTTTTAAAACACCCTTTACTGGTGGTAGGACGTCTAGTGAGTCCGCGCGGGTGGGTACCACCACCCTGCCTATTTCTGCCGTGAAGCAGTGATGCGTTTCGGTTTGAAGGGTGGGGTAGCCGTGGTAACTATACTGAGATCTTAGAACTTATATCTCAAGGTGGGTGGCGCATTTACGTTGTAGATATCTATGGGCTCCAGTAACTACTTAACACCAGGTGGGCTATGAGCTCGTCCACCCATCTAAGCAATAAAAAAAACTCGATAAATATTACGTGCTGAATAAAATTAATATTTCAGTGATTTCAAAGCCACTGACAGTGGCAACGTAAGCATGATACAAGATGAAGGTGTAAAGGTTTTTTTTACTAAATTGATAAGGAATGTGTAAGTTTATACTGAGTGCAATTCTAAAGTAATACAGCAAAATAAGCATTCATGCACATTTCGTATGCAGCCATGCCTCATGCAGGAGTTAAAACATTACATTTGAACTTTTAGTAGGCTAAACTAGCCTAACAAATCATGGACACTGATATCTGCAAAGATGTTTCAAAATTGTCGCACAAACATTCGCCAGCTCTATAAAAACGGGCACCAAAATAAATAGAGAAATAGAGATATAAATAGAGAGATAAATAAACAGATAATACACAGACGCTTAACGATTAGCCACGTATGACGTTCGACGAGGTGATTGGTGTTTAGCTTGACGTTAGCAAGTATAACGATTAAATTTAGATTTTTTATGGAAACACATCCACAAAAGCTGAAGTCTGAAAATCTGAAGTACTGTTAAAAGGTATTTTATAGATAAATGTCAGCGGAAAATACCAAGTATTTCAAGTAGATACGGCAAATTGAAAAGCAATCTCGCTGATAAATTGCATTTAACGTTCATTAAATTCGGATGATAATGCAAGATAAGATGCGTCGAATTGATCGCATTAGCTTTATTGATTTCCTTTTAGTATTAATAGCCGTAGATTTCGGTGGATTTTCCGAGTTACATACTTAACTACTTTTACTAAAAAGCGTTTTGATGGTCAAAGACAATTTGTATGCGTCACAAATTTTAGGTCGAATTTTAGGACGAAATTGTTAATAGAACTGTCGAATTTTATAAAATCTAGTATGCAAACATATCTCATGAAATTAATGCACTACTAATTGTCACCATGCACGAATACACCACTAGTCTTTTAAATATATAATTTATAATATAATTTATTTTTATTTATTAACCTTGAAAAACATTTACACGACAGTTTGCTAAAAACTCTCCACACTAGGCACTGCCTGTCTCGTGGAGAGCTTTTATATATCTATCATCAAAGTGATCTGAAAATAGATACTTTTGGAAGCTAAATTCATTAATAATTTTATTCAAGCATATCGAAGACTCATGCATAGTCGAATAGAAACCAAATTTACCATTTCCCCAAAACAAAAGAAGACCACAAGACGAAGCAAAGTACGAGACTTCTTAGAATTATCCCCTCAATAGAACGCCATAAGGATATAAGTAAGTAGGTTAGCAGTAAATTAGTTGGCTCACTAAGTTTCTCGCCGGATCTTCTCAGTGGGTCGCGTTTCCGATCCGGTGGTAGATTCTGCGAAGCACGGCTCTTGCTAGGATTCGTATTAGCAACGTCATCAGGTTTGAGCCCCGTGAGCTCACCTACTAGTTAAGGCTACGCTGATATAGCCTCTCAAGGCTATCAGCTTAGGTAGTAAACAAAAAAAAAGTAAATTAGGTGCGACCTGGTAATAACATTGTCCGCAAGCAGTAGTAAGCACTGCTTGTTTATGACTCAATCACACTCGTCAATTTAAGAAACATGACACACGAAGATCTCGACTTTGTGCTAAGCATCCAAAAGTCGATTAAATCTTGGAACCGCTTATAAATATTCATAATTCATGTGTACATCAATGTAGACGTCAGCGTAGGAAACCTCTCAGATCACATTTTCCGGTCACTAGTTTTTACACGCGCAAAGCTCGCACAGGTATGTGCGTCACATGGGGACGATAATGTCTCAAACCAAACAAAATACATAGCAAAACATTATTGAACTCCAGAAGGATTGCTCTTACAAGGAATTTCTAATTGTGATCTGATAAAAATATTTCTATCTTAAATAGAATTCTTTCTTGAATATGAGGACATCACAATATTTTTATTCCATATTTTTGGTGATAAGCCCATAGACATATGAGGCCTATAAAATCAAAGGCAGCTAAATTCAAGTCTGTCAAATATTCAGGTAAACTACAAAAATCGGCCCTAAACACGTCATTACGGATCCTTCTGATCCATCGAAGTACTCTGCTCTTGCTAGGGCCAGTGTTAGCAACACTCCCGGTTTGAGAAGCTGAAATAGCTTTGTTCGGGTAGCTACGATATTCTTTATTTTAAAGCAGAATTATAAAGAATGAGAATATTACTAATAATCTGAATTTTAAATTATATATTTTATATGAACTTCGTTTATATTTGAGTACAGAGTAAAAATAAAATTTTGAACTGAATTTGCNTCTGCTCTTGCTAGGGCCAGTGTTAGCAACACTCCCGGTTTGAGAAGCTGAAATAGCTTTGTTCGGGTAGCTACGATATTCTTTATTTTAAAGCAGAATTATAAAGAATGAGAATATTACTAATAATCTGAATTTTAAATTATATATTTTATATGAACTTCGTTTATATTTGAGTACAGAGTAAAAATAAAATTTTGAACTGAATTTGCTAGAGATTTAGCTGCATTTGTTGTAACATGAAAACACTAAAGCGTGTCCCAACTAACTAAACCAGATGGCGCCATAGTTAATCCATTTTACAACAATAAGGCGTTTAGCTGCCTTTGATTTTATAGGCCTCATATCTACGTGAACGCCGCCTCTCAACTATGACAGGAGATATGACAGGTCGTAATGTCAATAATTTTATTAGAACTTGTACCATTAGGGTACCGTAAATAGGCAGAAACTACCCGCACGGGCTTACAGTGTATCCTAACACTAGTGAATGTCGATTAACGATCGTAGTACGCTGGTATAATTGTCAGATACTACTGCTGATCATTGTCCAATGAAACCATTTGCGCATTTACAAAACCACGATTACAGATAGGCTGGATATTACGCCCCAGCACACAGTCAACTGTGATCTGCGTCTCTCAACAAGATTGTAATAACGAGTATCCTTAAAACAAAGGTGGCATTGCTATGTATCTACGCGTAAATAGCGCCTTAACGATTAGACTTCACGGTCTGTTTCTTTTTAACAGATTTACACCATAATTGTCACGATTTATCAGGAATGACGTATTCTGTGCCTACTCGTCAACACAAAGATAGTGTTGTGAGTCAACGTTACCTACACGCTACCTACGTGACTTCAATGCCATACACACTGATCCTTGTGTTAACAAAGTCATATTGATTTTGTACAAAATCCATCCGACACAAAAATAAAGCTCACGGAATCCGTGAGGGCAGAAGATTGGCCACATAAGCCACTGGGAAAACGACTTCTCGAGTGGAAACCGAGGATCAGTAACCGACCAAAACTGAATGAAAACAACCGAAGATCGAGATAAGGCGTATTAAGAGGGATGTACATATGTCCAGCAGTAAACTAAGTGTGACGATATTGATGATTATGACCAAACTAATGATTTAATGATTGCCGTATAACAAGGCCCATAGACAACAACGTGGATTCCGGTGCCCATCTCGAGTCACGCGGTCCAAAGCAATAACAATAATTACTTTAGAGCAAGAATCCATAGTTTTGATAAAACGCCACTTTCACACAGTAACAAATAAATTTAAAGGCTTTCGAAATATAAAGTAACAATAATCACTTTTGTGACATTTGAGTTATTTACTAACTGACCATATAATTAATTATATTACAAAATTCTTCATCATCTATATTAATATAGAAATCTACAGTGGTTTTTACGGATGTTCCGTTATAACTACTGAACCATGCATCCGATTGACTTGAAACTTGGTATCCATGTAGAAAATACATGTACTTAATGGATAGGTTAATATTTATATGAGTGTTGGACTCCCTACACCAGTTGCGGGGGCGTTAATGATGAGAATCTTTGCGGGGGTGAGAAATAATAATGTTAATTTTAAATGCCCAGCGAAGCGGACGGGTACAGCTAGTTTATTATATGAAGCTATTATTTTCCACGGCTTAAGTCTATGCGATTTCTACTTTTAAACTCCAAACCGAAAAAATANATAGGTTAATATTTATATGAGTGTTGGACTCCCTACACCAGTTGCGGGGGCGTTAATGATGAGAATCTTTGCGGGGGTGAGAAATAATAATGTTAATTTTAAATGCCCAGCGAAGCGGACGGGTACAGCTAGTTTATTATATGAAGCTATTATTTTCCACGGCTTAAGTCTATGCGATTTCTACTTTTAAACTCCAAACCGAAAAAATATATGCATCAGAAGCATATAGGACGATGGTAAAAAAAAATTGTTGATAATAAAATGAAGAGAATAAGTAGTTCACTTCGTTGCAAGGCATAATATGTACATGACGCAAGCAATTTTATTTGAATACTAAAAAAAAAATTGATATCAAAAAGCCATTGCTATTTTTAAAACCAACTATTGTTGCTTTTTTTTTCCTACCTAAGCTGGTAGTCTTGAGAGGCTATTCCAGCGTAACCTTAACTAGTAGGTGAGCTCACGGGGCTCAAACCTGACGACGTTGCTAACACGAACCCTAGCAAGAGCAGCGCTTCGCAGAATCTACCACCGGATCGGAAACGCGACCCACTGAGAAGATCCGGCGAGAAACTCAGTGGGCTGTGTCTGTGGGTTAATTTACTCGTCGAACCCGTCGCTTGCGACGAAGGGCTGACGAACGGTGACCGGTGCTTGAGGTACGAAGACAGCGTAAATTATGGTCAAAGCTTTAAACCAAACCTATAATATAATACCTATAATTGAATATGCAATTTCGAAAAGAGCACATGTCGCATATTTTGTCAAATACGTTTTTTCATATACATGTAGTTTTGAGGCTTGCCTACTACACCCATTTTATAATAATTCCAGTAATTTTCAATTGCTAATTAACACTAAAATATATCTCAAAATATTTTAAATTTTACACTGCTTTAGAAAATAATCAGTTTTTTTTTTTCATTTCCTGAACATTTTACATTTTCAGAGATGTGCCCTTTTCGAAATTGCATATTCAATAATGCGGGCAGTCATTATGCAAATATATATGAGTACAGTGGTTTGAGTTTATGAAATGTACATTTGACGAAAATTTCCCTTTTTTTTGTGGTATAATTTTTCAGCATCGGTTTTTTCATTCCTTTTATCATCAATGCGTTCCGTATCAAAAGCAGATAACGCTATTTATATTTTTTTATAATTAAAACACAATATATCATATTATGATATGCTTTGTATACTATGATGATGTTGATACGCAATCGTTACAGAAATTATATTTGCGTTACTTAATTGTTATGTTTAAAGGTTCAGGTTTCCTAAACGTAACCGTCCTAGGGTTAATTATAGACAGTTTTATTAAATGTGTAGCTTGTAATTTTGTTTTTCTTAATAGTGTTAATGTGTCTTAATAGTTAATGTGTCTTGAACTGATAAGGGAGGAAATGTTATGTTTAAAATAAATGTTAGTGTGTCACTGGCCGTCTTGAGTATCACTTGTCTCCATACACGCTACGCTAACACAACATTAATGAAAAATAAAATAGCATCTACTTTTAAGCTTATCATTTTAGTTTAGATATCAAAGGCTATCCAATATTTTGAATCACCGGTTCCCGAAATGAGTGTGAGTGTGTGAATGAATGACTTCAACAAATTCTTTATTTGAAAATTTATTTTTAACCAATCTAAAATTTGTAATACATAAGTACAACGGCGGATCCAGGGGGGGGGGTCATGGGGGTCATGACCCCCCCCCCTAAGCTAGTTCCAGGACTTGAACTAACTTGGACTAATTGAAGAATATCATGATTTATTCATTATCTATTGTTATCAAAATTAAATTATAAGTTCTTAACTTGCCCACGACTATGTGACCCCCTCCTAGCGCCAAAGCTGGATCCGCCCTTGCATAAGTATACATCTATTTAAATTATTTCCCTGGATCTTTTAATTAAAGTTTTTTTTCTGTCGTTTATGTTTAGTACTAAACTAAATTGGACCATCTTTGTTGTGCATTTTATCTATCTAAAACTATCAATACGTAATGTATTCAAAGCAGAGGAGTCGAAGCGATCGATTTTGAAAAGTGTTTTGGAACGCCTTTTCGCGCGGGAAAAAATACTTTTTTTCCGATCGAAGATAGGGCGGGTTTCTTGCTGGTTTATTATATATTAGAACCAATTATAATATAGAATGTTCAATTTTAATAGTTATAATCATAGATATCTAACCTTGTGTCTCTACTATCAAAAAATATACTGTCTGTCTATATTTAAAGTCTGTCTACTCAAGTTAATAATAGATATATCGACGAACTACACAAAATTCATTTTATTTTCCCGCCAAATTGCCGAATGCTTTCACGGCTTCCATCTACCTAACTATAATTTATCTATGTGATGTAAATGCATCTTATTGACTTTACAAAACTACACATGTTTTTCAATTGTTCTAGAAATTTCCGTTCACACGCTGCTGACGATTTACAAAACATTGTTAAACAACAGTATGATGACTTTCAGATGTTACATTACGTAACATCCTTCCATTTGTCACGAGTTAGATCAATGGGTATGAAACTCGTTGGAATTTTGTACATATTGACAACTGAAAAACATTTAAATCTTATTCCATAAAACCAAGGGCGTAATATATTTTTGGCGGCAAAACAAACAAACCATCCCTTTAGCTCAGGACAGTTTGCAGATAGATACCTAGTACAAATGTTTGCGCAGAAGGCATTCAGGTCATGCCAGACACACCGAACCAGCACAGAAAGCGTGCGTCCGAGTTAACTATCAGCTACGCCTTCTCGAACACAGATTAGAAAACCATTTGCTGAATGTCGGTGCCTCCGATCCACATCACGCGTGAGACAACAGACCATCCCACTCGTGTAACACGGTATCTTTTTTTTCCTACCTAAACTGATAGCCTTGACAGGCCATTTCAGCGTAACCCTAATAAGTAGGTGAGCTCACGGAGCTCAAAACTGACGACGTTGCTAACACGAACCTTAGCAAGAGCAGTGCTTCGCAGAATCTACCACCACGTCGGAAACGCCACCCACTGAGAAGATCCGGCGAGAAACTCAGTGGGCTGTGTCTGTGGGTTAATTTATTCGCCGAGCCCTTCGTCGCAGGCGACGGGTTCGACGAGAACGATGACCGGTGCTTGGGGCACATAAAAGCACCGTTAGTGGATCGAGATGATCCGAAGTGACGTGAACATTGTAGCAAATATACCTAACTCAAAAAATATATTTTAAGTTCATGTATGCAATTTTCATGATAAATTAATAACACTATAAAATAAACCCTTCAAATTTGCGTAATTCACATGAGTCGCTTCTTACTTCTTCTGTGTCTCTCCAATAATCAATCAATTCGATTTGATATGATGCACATTACGGTATTTAATTAATAAAAAAATTTGAAAACGCATTTTAAAACTTCATTAAACACTATGTAGATAATGTTCGATCGCAAAACTCATTTTTTTAACTAGTCTTCATACAGTGTTAGTAATTAGTTACATTAAATATCATTAAAAAAAATCGTCTATTGATAAAAAAAATCCTTCCATAAAAAATTGCCTGAAAGAGATCGTTAAAAGCGATAAGCTGTCACTTATTTTACTTGTTTATTTGTTCCCTTATGAATATTTGAAATTATTATTAAATTTATTTTGGTCGGATGGTATTGGATGTGGATGTGGATTGGTTATGGATATTTTGGTATGTATACGGAATGCTCGCATAAATCTACGCTACAACCGCATACTGTTTTAATCAAGTTAAAATTTTATTTCATTATTATCCGCCTCTTCGTTTGAACGTACATTACATCAAAGAAGAAGTAGGCAGCGGCTTGACTCTGCCCCCGGCATTGCTGAAGTCCATGGGCGACGGTAACCACTCACCATCAGGTGGGCCGTATGCTAGTCTGCCTACAAAGGTAATAAATAATAAATATAAAAGAATAGCCTTCGCCCACCTGACCACGATTGGTCTCTATCATCCACGAATATCCGTAGTGGGTACTGTGTTAAGGCTAGTTTTCGGACCTCATTTCAATGATATATCAAAACGCCGTGCTATTATCGACGAAGGAATTTGATTCCAAATCCCAATGGAGTTGCAAAAGTTGAGAGGAGCAAAGTTGAGAATGTTGTGAGCATTAAACATCTAAAGCAATCCCTCTGAGACCGGATTTATGATTCTTGTGTGCAAACGGTTCGGAAAATCAGAATTACCGACAATCCCTAAGGCCTTCGAATTGAAAAAGTGAAGTAGAAGTAGCGATTACCGATAGAGCGTCGGTTCAGGGTTGGAATTCTCCATACGAGATCAAAGTGGTGCTCATAAACCATAGCACTTTGACTATTAAAGTATATTTTTTGTTCCACACATTTTAGAAGTGAACTAAGCTTTACCTTCATGTGACTAATGTACTGTCATAGTTGCATCGTTTATTAGGAGTACACTGGCCATTTTATCTTTTTTTATCTATTTTATTTCAGCAGCTTTTTTATCGCCAAGCATGAGCGAAACTAATTGAAGAACATGGTTAGACGATTATTAATTTTTTTTTAATAATAGTGTACAACTCAACCTATTATGTAAAAATGTTTAGGACAGGCAACATTTATCTTTTTTTTTATCCATAAAGTTATGAAACCCATTATTATTAGATACCCTTAAAGTCTTACATATAAATCTATGGATATCCTAAGTATGTAAGCAGCATACGGCTATGTAAAAAATATTTTAATATTATTGGCTTACAGACCTAATTTCACAAGACTATGTGCTGTAAAGAATTAATTCCTTATCACAAGACATGATTATGAAATTAGGTAACCAATATTACATAATATTAAAACAGTAAATACCATTGACTCTCTGAAATTGAAGAAATGTATTATTAATTTTTAAATATGTAAATTAATAAATTTTTATCCATATATGTGAGTCGACTATTATCAAAGCCGGCAATCTGCCTTTTGGATAATGATTGGTAAATCAGAAAAACGAATTATTGACTTTGTATTCCATTGGCAGTCACAAAACTCTTCGGAACGACATCTTAGATAAATAACAGGTTAACTATTAACCTTTATTTAATGCAGGTTTTGAACCGTATTCTTTGAAGGAGACGATTATATTCAAATTAATCTGTATTGACATATCAATAAATTTTTTTAGTCCAAATGCACAGATTGCCACCTTTGATAATAGACGACTCATGTATGCTAACACTCATATTATCTTTTCCATAATCAATCTATTTAATAAGTAAACATCACCAAAAAGCAACCAACAAACTATAGACTAACTGAAACACCCAGACACAGCAAAAGCAAAACATGCAAACAGTGATCTATTTAAAAAACTTACCTAAGCATGATTCTGAAATTTTCCAGTTCTCGAATACTGTTTGATAATCTAGCAAATGCATTGAACAGGGCCACAATCTCTGTTCTTTGTAGCTTTTTATGTGACTTATGTCTTAAAGGTAGTTTCCCACTTGAGGGATCTGCTTCGGGGCTATTCCATTTATCCGAGAACAATATTTTCAAAGCAGTCCCGAGCCCCTGAGTTTGGAGTTTACCCCACAACTTGCATTTATCACAGCCAACACAGTCCATGATCCTGGAAATATTACGGAAATGATCACGGAACTCATTTTTCAGTGTCTCCACTTGGCTGCCTCCTTTGAACATGGAAGACTCATTGAAATGCTCAGGAAATGAGTATATAACACCCAACATGTTGCTGATCGCCTGTCGGGTCTCTTCATCTTCTGTTGGGTTTCCCGTAAAATATTCTTCTTGTTCTAAATATGGCCCAGCTTTTGCCAATGCCCTCATTTCTAATAAGTACACAAAATATAGATTTTTTAGCCAATTTGTACTTTCACCCATAGTTTGAGAGGGATCAAATCTCCTTTGAAACTCTTCTAAGTTTGGACCCCACTCTCCTTCCGGAGGAGCAACAAAGCCTAAGCTTTTTTCTGACAAAAGAAACTTTGAACATAAATGTATATTAATACTTGTATGGAGTCCAGATATAGCTCTATAAAACACTCGTTTTTCTAAACACAGATTACTCAGATCTGAACTTAACACATAAGGGAATGATTCGTATGGATTTAATTTTGGACGAAAGCAGTTTTCTTGATAAATACTCCTCCAAATTCTGTGTGCAGATGGCCCTTTATATCCTGTATACCTCTCTGGGTTTAATGTTAAATCAACATAATCTGCATCAGCATCACGGTCATCATTTTCACAAAAATTATCATGTGCATCATCGTGAACTTTCCATTTTGCTATTTCATACTGATTGGCAGCACTAATGGTCATATTCAAATAGCCCAACTGAGGATCATGATCCAAATCAGACTTACAGTCTGACTGTGCTTCTTTAGAGTATTTGGTGGCAGGCGTTTCATCTACATACTCATTATTATATCCAGTTTCATAGCCAGGTACACTTTCCTTCGTGCAAGTCTTTATATGGCAGTATTTCATAGCACACCTACTGTCATCAGCCCAGAACGGGCATTCCTTTTTCAAATTTACCTTATAAAAACGAAAGTAGTCTTTCGTGACTATACTCTGGATGCGGGGAAAGATCTTCACATTATTGAAGAAGTCAATCGTGTCAACTTTACACGAGCAGTCCCCCAAAGACCCGTGGAGCTCATCGAAGCAGGCTGTACTGTCGCAAGGCTTCGTTAGCTCCGTGTCGTAACCAACCGCCTGTACTATCGCTAGAGCAAATAAAATAAACACAACACAATAACTTTTCTGTGGCATCTCTGTGGATGTCCGCGCCATGACATGAGTATTATAACACTAACGAAAGTAGCTTCAGAGCGAACATTTACGACTGTTATGTATGTATGGTAAACTAGTGAATAATCACGACAAGGTGAAAGTAAACACGAATCTGAAAGGAGGACGTGCTTTAGCAACCGTACACATTTCGATCTCATTCATATTTCATATTGTTTTGACAGATGACACTAGTTGATTTTGACAATTCGGTTTGAAGTACAAAAGTACACGTCAGTTTATTTCATAGACCTTTATGTTTATTTTAGCATTGAACTATTTTTCCTCCCTTTATCATAAAAAAAGAAAAGAGTTGGATCAAAATATTTTTTTCCTTGGCTACTTGTGTTCTGTCTAGGTAATATAGCAGCTCTAGCCAAGTACACCAAATACAAGCTTTTTATATTAGCTGTTGGGAAAATTATATTACATTATTTAATCATGCCAATTGGAAATAACTTTAACAATTGCAAACATTTTAACAATTGAAATGTTTTGGTGAAAATCCATATATTCGTTATTTACTTGTTGAGTTGTCAAAAATAAACTAGTAAATGTCTGTCAACGTCTTACTTAAAAGTATATTTTGCAACTATAGTAAAATCTCATTTATGAATTTTGCTACTGTACTCTAAGTACTGAACCGTTTTTTAGTTTTTAATTTTTATTTAAGTTATTCATTATCTGTTCAATTTTATGCGTCTACTTCATAAAAATGATTTATAAATTAAATGTTTTTATAACCCGTGATTACTAACATTTTTAATTAAGATTTTACTTTGAGACCGGAATACAGATATGTAATTTTTTTTTTTCATTATCGTGTATTACACGATTTGAAAAACCGCAAAAATTATACCTACACAATAAATCACACTCTACCTATTCCTGGCGTGAAGCAGTAATGCGTTTTGGTTTGAAGGGTGAGGCATCCATTGTATTTTAAGAACCTGAGATTTTATTGAACTCCTGTCTCAAGGTGGATGACGGTATTCATAGAGCAAGAGCCCGCGACAGCCAGACCTTCGTTATTTTATAAAAGCTGAAAGTTTCTCTGTGTATGTCTCCAACACAGGTAAGAACGACCCGCGATTATAGAGTTTCGATTGTGGTTACTTGGGCAGGTAACAGGCAGTAAAGGTATATAAAATAGTACCTTAAATTCGTTAAAGTATAAAGGTTTTTTTTTTTAATATTTANCTAAGTAACATATATAAAATTTAGCTTTTATAGTATAACGAAAGTATAATTAAAATTTATTAAAGTTTAGGGGTGTCTGGCAGGGGGTAACAACTGGAAAAAGTGTCCGGCAACGGATATCATGATTTCTAAAGATATTCTGGAGTAAATATTAAAAAAAAAACCTTTATACTTTAACGAATTTAAGGTACTATTTTATACACCTTTACTGCCTGTTACCTGCCCAAGTAACCACAATCGAAACTCTATAATCGCGGGTCGTTCTTACCTGTGTTAGAGACATACACAGAGAAACTTTCAGCTTTTATAAAATAACGAAGGTCTGGCTGTCGCGGGCTCTTGGGCTATCACGTTGACGTCTATGGGCTCCGATGACCCCTTATCTTAGTACCTATTAAAAAAAATTGTGAAAGTTGGTCGAAAACATATTTATTTATGTATGTATTTATAAAAAAAAATTGATTTTATGTACCTGCGGATTTGAACGTCGTTATACTTGCACAGATCACTCAATTCACTACTCTCGGTCATTTTATTCTCCTAGCATAAAAAACTTAAGTAACCAATAATATAATGTTTACTTACTGTTTGTAAGCAAATATTTTCAAGACAATAGTTTAAGGTCATATCGTTTTGCAGTACAATGTAATAATTATCTGTGACTTCAAAAACTCTGATTTGTCTAACTTCACGTTTTTAAGTAAATTACAATTTTCGGCATTTCGGTAGTCGCTGAAAAAAGACAAATGAGCCAATATCCTTAAGATCATTGTAACGCTTTTATTTTTATTTTTATTAATATTAAATATTTATATTCGTTTTTATATGAAACTAGCTGATCCGGCAGACTTCGTAGTGCCTTAATCGATAAATATAAGACGATAAAGGAAAAACAAAATTGTTAGTTTTATTTAATTCCGAGCATTTTCATATTTATCTACCTTTTAAACCTTCTCTGGACTTCCACAAATAATTCAAGACCAAAATTAGCCAAATCGGTCCAGCCGTTCTCGAGTTTTAGCGAGACTAACGAACAGCAATTCATTTTTATATATATAGATTAGTTTTCATCACTAAAAGGGGAAAAGGTTGAAAACAAAAAACGATTTAATATAATAGAAAATTTTATTTTTCGCCGTACATTATAAATCATTCACAAAAGCATCAGAAATGCACATAGAGATTCAAAAAAAAAACGCACGTTAATATTGCCCGTTACGGGTTTTATTTACACGAACATTTGGAAAAAGAACGACAATAAATCGTATTTATTAAAATGCGTATTAATTTTTAACATTCTTAATAGTAATTATATTTATTTATAATTACATTGGACGTAAAATTACAAAAAAGTTTAAATATTTTACGAAAATACTTTTGAAAAATTTCCATTTTATATAACTTTATAATTTAGCATAATGCGTATCATATAAGTTTGATCAAGCACACTCATGTCAAGATTTCGATTAAGCATTTAATTTGATTAAAATACACATATTAATATGAAAATATTTGTTACTTTTATAGTTCCAAAAATTTACGTCTAAGAATATATCTTGAGAATATCATCCCTCCTAATAATGCAATAAAATATTAATAAATTTGAGATTTTGTATACAGAGTACTTTTGTTTTTTGTTAAAATTTAATTCCTTAAGCACAACGGAACAAGTTTAATCTTTTGTTATTTTTTTTTATCTGTTTAATAACAAACTTATTTTGAGATTCTGACTTGAAATGAGTGCAAAGGATCGACATAGCTAAATTAACTTATCAATACGAAAAAAAAAAGGGAATCAAAACAGCACATCAATCGTTACATTAAACTAGCGATGCACTAAATCGAGAATCCCCAGAGCCTTAAAAAAGTCAAATGTGTAACAAGTATTATTTTATAACTAAATTATTGGTAAGGTACAGCGCGTCTTTTCGTTACCTATGTTTAGGATCAACTGTTCATTGATTCGTGTAGATAAAATATAAAACAAATGTAACATCGTATATCTCAAAATTTATTGTGAAAATACACATTCGTGAAGATTGCGTTCCAAATTTTTTTTTTTTAAATCAATCAGCCATTTTGTGGTTCTAGAACTGATCGGGTTACAATTGAGGTTGATCAGGTTTTAATATAGAATCGTGGAAGCAATCTTTCATGACAGGTGGGACTTGCGCGGCTAACAGGTTGGTAAAATGTGTAAAGTGGTCGTTTTTTTTTTTTTTTTATTCGAATGTTCATCTCGTTATGTCTTCATTTTAGGCGTACCTGCAAACGGAAACATTTGAAAACGATTAGTATTAAGTTAAGTCGCTTGTCGCTTCCACGATGGTATATGGTGACAGCACCGAATGAATTTGAAAGTTTAATGTTTTTTTTTTTTTTGAACACTGGTACCGATGGCCGTAATTAAACACGTACACATAACATAATCTGTACAAGAAAAAGCCACTGAAGTCATATTGACATTATTTACAAACACAAAAATTATAAAGTGCGCTAATTGAAAAATAAAACGTTGAGTTCAATTGTGTTTTTTTTTTTATTAATTGTTGTAATTACTAAGAAATTTCCCGAAAAATGAGGAGATTATTGACGCGGTGATATTTCAAAACAGCCGTGCGCTCTTCTATTCACCGACGCTTGTGAAAGAAATATATCTACTGAGTTACTATTAACTACGCATTACCTATTCATCTCTTTAAAATTAGTCCAATAGATTTAAACTGTTTTTATTAGTATTTTTAGTACCTATTCGAAAAATCGAATATAAGTCTTTTGTTTCATATAAATATGTCATTTCGCTCCTATATTAAGCACGCATACTCACACATTCGTTTACAAATTTTGCATAATTTTCCCTATTTTTAGGCAGAAATATTTGGTCGATAAACCATCTTTGATTCATATTTAAAACATTAAATAAGCTATTCGAATCATGAACTACTTAACTCTTACATTTATGGACAAGTTCCTAAATAAAATAGAAATTAAATCGAATTTTCGACATCATACTACTCAAGTATAGGTACTATTTGTTTTGGCCAACACAGCTCAACTCAAATTCATATTATACAAGTAAAAATGAAACAGCCTTAATTGATTTGCTGAAAACAAGATCTTATACCTTTAAACGAGCAATTCTTGTATATTAATATAATATATATAGTCTGAAACTCGGAAACGGCTCCAACGATTTTCATAAAATTTAGTATACAGGGGATTTCAGGGGCGATTTTCAGAAAATGTTGTTATTCGTGTTTTCAATAATCAACTCTTCCCGACATCTTTTGGCGAATAATAATACTATTTTTCTTAATTGAGGGCAACTAACCGCTTTAAAGACACAACAAGATGGCGTTATCAAAAAAAAAACCGAGCAAAGTTCGGTCATCATCTAGTTATTGATTATGAGAAAACCTATCCATTACTCATGCTATTAGCGACTATTGCACTCGTACACTTCAAATTTCTAGAATGTTGCCTTCGGAAAGTTTATTAGTCAATTGCTATTGTAGTCAGACGAGCATATGAGCCACCTGTTGGTCTCACCATCGCTCACGGCCAATAATAATGATAGAGGAACAGCCATGGCATACTTGCTTTTGGACCGTGTAGCAAAACTGTCCTAATTAAAATCGTTTTCTTAGATTTTAAATGTATGGGGTGGGGGGTGTTAGAAGGTTTTCGCAATGGTCTCCACGGGCTCTAGAAACCGTTTAACAATACGTGAGCATTGAATTGGTTGGCTCGTGTACGTTGATAAAAAACAATTAGTCCTAAAAGTTCGGTATTGAAAATGTAATTTAACATGCTGAAGAAACGAGACAAGCCGTTAAAGCAACTCTACTATAAATTATGATGATGTGTGGCAAGTATTCAAATATCCAAAACTACTACTAACTTCTACAAGGCATTGTGTTAATAACGAAACTTACATTAATATTTGTGTGTTGTCCAAATTACGCTGTTTGAAAC